GTCAACCTATTTTCCAAAGCACCTGAAGGCCAGACAAGGAATAATGGATGGAAACTGATCAAGGAGAGATTCAACCTGGAAATAAGGAGAAATTTTCTGACAGTGAGAACAACCAACCAATGGAACAGAAGTTGCCTTCGGAAGTTGTGGGAACTTCATCACTGGAGGATTTCAAGGGGAGATTGGACTGCCATTTGTCAGGGATGGTATAGGGTCTCCTGCTTGGGCAGGAGGTTGGACTAGATGACCTAAAAGGTCCCTTCCAACTCTGTTTATCTATCTAAATACATACAAAAACAGAGATAATTGTGGGCTATGTCAGTTTGTCTCCTCTGCCCCCCTCCTATCAAAGGTAAATTAGAGAAGTTCATGAAGTAACAATCTCATGTTTCAATAAATTATTATTACATGGTTAGCTATGGATAAAATTTCAGCTATTCCATGACAGCTTCTCAAAATGTCAGATCATATTCATCAGCTAAGTTGCTTTGATATCTCTGATAAGAAAGGAACATGGCCACAATGATGGTTCCCTCTATCATAGCCTCTACAGGTAGTCCTCGACGTACTATCACAATTGAGCCCAACATTTCTGTGGTCAAGTGAGACAGTTGTTAAGTGAGCTATTTGCCCCGTTTTATGGCCTTTCTTGCCACAGTTGTGAAATGAATCACTACACGTGTTAAGTTAGTAACATGGTTGTAGAGTGAATCTCTCTTGCCCATTGATTTTATGTACACTGAGAGCATATGCACCAAGACAAATTCCTTGTGTGTCCAATCACACTTGGCCAATAAAAATTCTATTCTATTCTATTTTGTCAGAAGGCAGCAAAAGGTGATTACATGATCCTGGGACACTGAAACCATCGTAAACATGAGTCAGTTGCCAACTGACTGAATCTCGTGACCATGGGAATGTGTCAAAAAATGATCATAAGTCTCATCTTTTTTTCAGTGCCGTAGTAACTTCAAAAGGTCACTAAATGAATGGTTATAAATTGAGAACTATCTCAACTGTCAGTGAGCTGATTCCTTGGAAATGATTAATTCCATTCAAAATTCACTCTAACCTGGTCACTAGAGTAGCTGACACAAGCCATGCATGCTGTACTTCAAGGGGAAAAAGATTAAGCATATTTTTATTTGTGGATGGGTTTTTTCTACTGTGCAATTAAGGTGTATGGATAAACACATTTAGTTTCCTTGATGAGTATTTCCGATGGTGCAGCCTACTGATAGCTTGCCTATATTTCCCAGAGTCCCTAATGACAGTGAAGGTTCTACCATGCTTATAACCTTCCTTTGCAGAGAACTGGAAATCTAGGAAGGATTCACAACTTTTCAAGTCAGCTTCAGTATTGATTTTTCCCTACCATCTCCATACATTTGGGAACATGCCAGGAAAGCAGGAGAACTAACTGGCTGAAGAATGACATCTTAGATTTCCTGACAATTCAGAAAGTACCTGCAGTAAAGTATGCTTTTTTTTCTTGCGAATTGTACAATAGTTTATACTAACAGAGGTGAAAAAGTTTTATCTTCTGTATTAAACTGAGAATTAACTCTGGGCCCACAAAACTATAAACTTGTACAAATTTCATTTTAGTTTAGAGTGCCAAGACCAACCTACGCCAGCAGTTTTGTATCGATACAAACCATGAAAGTTGTAAAAGAGAAAAATGGAGTTCTATCGAAATAAAACTTGAGGAATATGGACGCACAAGGGAGGTGATGTTTGAATACATTTAGAATGTGTATAAATCTCAAGTACACTTTCAATTCTTGTGAAGGTTTTGTCAAGGTGGACGAAAATGTGTGTCTCCATTGTTTCTAATATAAATAAAATTCATTGAGTTAGAGTGTCCTAGACTTTTGCATAACTGATGGATGCTGTTCACAATTCAAAAACCCATGGAAAACACGAAGGAATATGACAAAATAAACATATGAACAAGAAGGCTGCTATTTTTATTTTACATATGAAATTATATCAAAGAACTGAAAGAAATGTAATGTTGAGAGATTTCCCCTGCCAATTGTTCAAGGACTAAGAGTAGCAGAAGGGCATTGCATATATATAAAAAATCTGAATGTATAAAATTGGCTAATAAAGACAAAAAGAAGCTTCAAAATACCGTTTTATATTATTTAATGCTGTTTTCACAAATAAAAGATTTCTTTCAAGTTTCCCACTTTCTAAAATGCTCCCATCTCCTGTTATATTAATTATGTGAAATTTCTTATATTCTATAGTAGAAGGCAAGAAACTTAACATATAAATAGATACTCACTGAAATAATGTAGAATACAAATGCTGAATACATTTATTTCCTCTAGAAGAACTAGCAATTCTACAGGGATGGAAGGTATTATTTGTTAATGTTATTATTATTTTTTAAAAGAATTTCACTCAATCATTTTATCTTAGGTATCATTTGTAGCATATCATTTAGGAGCTAAAAAAAAATACAAGGGTACATCCTGGAAACAAAAGCATAAAATGAAATGCAAGATGTTTTTGTTGTTCTTCTCAAAAAAAATTATCTTAATTGCTCTGAAGTTCATTGCATTTAGCCAAGTGTTTGATGTTCCTGCAAGATGTATGTGCAATCTTTTGGTTCATTATTATTATGATTTAAGTCAAATGGAACACTGGATTAATGCAAATAATTGTTTACAATACATCCTCTGTCTCATTATTTCTTTGAATTTTACTCTTTATCCTAATTGCATATTTTATAGTAGAAAAGTGTAACAGTATAAGCTTCTTTACACAAAATTACATGAATGATCTATCTAGTAAGCCAATAGGACTTACAATTACTATTCTCCAGGGTTTCATATATTGGACCTAAGACCTCTGGCATACAAACAATGTCACACTGAAATCAAGGCCTTGCCATTAAAAAGTATTCCCCATTAACTGCATAATGTGTTTATAATGGGCAACAGTCAATAATGGAGACAATCCAATTCTTCTGTAATGAATATATAAGAACAAACCCAAGCTTTTATTACATTTCACTGGAAGGTAAATAGAAATTTGCAAATTAGTTTGGTCTAAAAGTTAAATAGCCAAAAGGAAAAGAACCAAAAATGGTTTCTTTCTGTAGGGAAGGTAAATTAAAAAGAAAAAAATATATATGCAGTCTTTCTATCTTTGTGCAAAAATAGAATAATCTATAAAAGACCATTCCTTGTTCTATTTCTTTAGCTCATTGAGTTTGGTAATTGGATTGAAGCAAGTAGATCTTCATAAATCAGGATGTCACACATATTCTAATCATTTCAGGTTATAATTCAGAATATATTGCGCTATTATTTAATTCTAAGAATGTTTATTTAAGATTACCAAAAAGTTCCAAAATACCTTATGTCAGTGGTTTTCAACCTTTTCTTCACCAGGATCCCCTTTAAATACTTTGGTGAATTTCAACAACTAATACAACGGACCATGGCCACAGACCCCCAACACTTAGCTCAAGATTTAAATCATAATATTTTTTCAAGTCTTCACGGACCGCCTGTGACATCATGGCCCACCAGCATGGGCCTCCTAGGGTTCTGCAGACTACAGGTTGAAAACTACTGCCTTATGTCTTTTCTAAAAACATGCCACATGTCATTGTAAAGCAAAAAGATACAACAGTGGACATGACATTATGATCCAAGCCTCACACCTTTTGTATGTGTATGAAATATTGACAGAGCTCGGATAGCAATGCTGTATATACCTGCTGTCCTGTTTTGACTTTCCCAAGTAGATAACACTAACCCCTTCAAAAAACAAACAAACAAACAAACAAACAAATAAACAAACAAACCAAAAGCTCCACAATTGGGAAGATATGCCTCACAAGTCTTGAAGAGTTCATTGAAAAATGTAAGGCTGTATAACTTCCATTTTCAATGTTGATAGAAATAGAAATAGACATTTCTATTGGTATATGTTATTAAGCCTTGGACCTATTCAATCCTAGGTCCTTCTGGCTTTATTTATTACTTGATGAAATTCACAACTAATCCATATAAGCTTGGTGCTGACATAGATACCTTGTCTCCCATTCATTTTTTTGGAAGGAAAAAATATAAATAAAAACATAAGCACCAAACTGCTAAGAAGCAGGAAAAAGGCACTCTTCCCCATGGAAATTGCTGGAACAACCAGTTTTCAGAAATTATGGTGTTTTTCCATAGTTTTCTGTGACATTATTAACAACTGCAAGGTTTAATTCTTGCTTTTCATTTAAATAATGACTTTTTTCCCTGGAAATAATCCTAAGAAACTTTTAACATTCATTCCTGGTTTAACATTGAATGTACATCTCCATTTTCTGGATTGCTCATATTTTTAATGAAAAAACCCATAATAACTATAAAATAAAATGAATATATTAATTTTGCTCATTATATTCCAGATTAATTATAGGAGGACAGATAGAGAGCCGAGGTGGCGCAGTGGTTAAGAGTGCAGTACTGCAGGCTACTTCAGCTGACTGCTAGTGCAGTTCAGCAGATCAAATATCACCAGCTCAAGGTTGACTCAGCCTTCCATCCTTCCGAAGTAGGTAAAATGAGGATCCAGATTGTTGGGGGCAATATGCTGATTCTGTAAACCGCTTAGAGAGGGCTGTAAAAGCACCATGAAACGGTATATAAATCTAAATGCTATTGCTATTACTATTCTGTGATTTGAAGAGGGTTGACCTTATTCCTATCTTGTTGATTCATGGCTTGATACCCCCCTCTCCCATGTTTAGCATAGAAGATATAATCAAAGAAAAGGTTAATTTTCAAAGTAATGGGAGATCAGGAAAAGAACAACAGCTAAAACATCCAATTTTGGAGAAGGAAGGAAAGAAGGAAGGAAGGAAGGAAGGAAGGAAGGAAGGAAGGAAGGAAGGAAGGAAGGAAGAAAGGCAGGCAGGCAGGCAGGCAGGCAGGCAAGTAGGAAAGAAGGAAGGAAGGAAGGAAGGAAGGAAGGAAAAATTAACTTACTTTTGGATGGCACTGGCAAATTAGAACGGACTACTATCAAGGAATCTGCTTGTACTCGAAGCAAATATTTTTTTGCAGTTTCATAATCCAGAGATTTTTGAATGGAGATAACTCCTGTCCTATTGTTAATGGCAAACACTCCTGGAGAAATGCAGAAAAAGAAGGTTTTATAAACATTTTAGGAATGGCTAAAATGGCTTCTTTAAAATTGTGCTATGTATCTGAAACGGAATATGTTAAATTTATTTTTTTCCATTTAGGATGTTTTACTTCCTCCCTCCTCCTCCTCCTCTTCCTTAAAAATATACTTTACTGAGACCACATTAACTTACCGTCTTCATTTCCTGAAACAATGGAATAGACAATTGTTTGATTCAAGGCAGCAGCGGTTACCACAATCACTTGGGTTCCTTTGGGAGCACCTTCACGCACAGGTGGGGGCCTACAGAATTAGTTGAGATAGATTATTGTTTATTTTGGTCGCATTGTGAATATTCTCCTGATATATTCAATGTATCTATGAAACTGAAGTAGAAACAGAAAGCTACATGTAAACCAATTAAAGGAATGCGAATAAAGCATTAACATTTGCAGAAATTAACACTGGCAAATGAGTGGAATGCAATTTCAGTAGTTTAATAAGTAGTGTAGTCCTATTCAACTTTAACAGTCAAAATCTAACAGACTATTTCCCATCATCCAATCTTCTGACTCTGAAAGTACACAAGTACACTCCTCCACTCGCAACAAAATACCTTATGCCACCAGACTTGAAATTTGGGGCTTAGAAAATTTAGAACTACCCTGCCTTCAGTATGACCTAAGCATAGCTTATAAAATCATCTGCTACAATGTCCTACGTGTCAATGACTACTTCAGCTTCAACCACAACAATCCATGAGCACACAATAGATACAAACAAAGTGAACTGCTCCAAACTCGATTGCAGAAAATATGACTTCAGTAAAAGAATGGTCAATGCCTGGAACGCACTACCAGACTCTGTGGTCTCATCCCAAAACCCCCAAAACTTTAACCTAAAACTGTCTACTGTTGACCTCGCCCCATTCCTAAGAGGTCTGTAAGGGGCGTGCATAGGAGCACCAGCGTGCCTACCATCCCTGTCCTAATGTTCCCTTTAATTGTATTCATTTTATGTATTCAATTCATGCTTATACTTATATATATTATCTAATATGTTCTCGATAGATAAATAAATAAATAAATAAATAAATAAATAAATAAATAAATAAATAGTAGGAAGACACGGTGCACACAATCTTCCAGAATTGTTCTTGCTATTTTCCTAAGGTCATTATACCTCTAATTCTGGAAACATCTAATAATAGCAATAAAGTCTAGTTCCATGGCACATAAAGAAGGTAAGGTCTCTCAAATTTCATGGGAGAGAGCACTGCCATGCAAAGGAGCTGCCACAGAGAAATTGCATCCATAAATGGAAGATGACCAATCAGCTCTGTAAGAGGGAAGCAATGCAGATTTTTTAATAGCACTTGGTGACTTGCTTACACTGAGTTTAGATATTGTCAAGCATATGAAGTAGTCCAGACCAAGAAACAGATGCCAGGTGTATCTAAAACTATTTTTATTAAGATGTTGCATATCTCAATGTGCTTCTGCTCTTCTTATATAGCTTCAGCTGAATTTGAATTCAGGGACTATCTGATCCCTTCCTCATCAGGACTTCTGCAATGCTTGTCTATTTGTTGCCTTGGTAACAGATCTTCCCTGTCTCCATCAAAGTCATCCGCTTTATTTTCTACTGGAATAGAGCTAAGCATCAATTTATTGATGACAACAAAACTGCTCATGATCAACTCCAGGAGGTTCAGGTAGTTGTTGACTAACAATTGCTTTGAGACAATTCATAGCATAGCCACCACTGTGGCTATGAAGAACAATTGCTATTTTCTGTGTCTATGTGTCTATCCCTGTAAGCAGAAGTGAAACCTGCAGCTCACAATTTCGAAGTATATTGTGCTTGACAATATAGCAAAAGCAGCTAAAAGACCGGGCAGGATGAATAGAGCCACACCAGTGATGGGATTCAATTTTTTTACTACCGGTTCTGTGGACGTGGCTTGGTGGGCATGGCAGGGGAAGAATACTGTAAAATCTCCATTCCCACCCCACTCCAGGGGAAGGATACTATAAAATCTCCAATTCTTCCCGATCAGCAGAGAATAGATGGGGGTGGGGCCAGTCAGAGATGGTATTTACCAGTTCTCCGAACTACTCAATTTTTCCGCTACCGGTTTTCCAGAACTGGTCAGAACCTGCCGAATACCACCTCTGAGCCACACTTCCTTTTTTCCTCCACAGCAAAACCCTTCTTCAATCTGATTCTGTCCCCAAACTAAGCCCAAATTAGCTAGTAAGATTGTTAGGAAATGACAATAGTTGCAAATTATTTTATTTCCTCAAAAATCTTGCCTTTGTGACTTTAAATAGTTGTTCTTCAAAGGATCTATAGGAGATTTCAAAAGGTGGGAACTAATGTTTCTTTTAAGCCCAACAGCACATTTATGCAAAAAGATGCTCACCACACCACTTACCGTATTTTTCGGAGTATAAGACGCACCTTTTCCTCCCAAAAAAAGAGGGTGAAAATGGGTGTGTCTTTTACTCCGAATGTAGCCCCGCCCAGCTTCTCAAACAGAGGTTTCAGAGGCTGAAAAAAGCATCAGAAACAAAGCTTCAGAAAAGAAGCCCCCAAACAGAGCTTCAGAAAAGAAGCCTCCAAACAGAGCTTCAGAGGCTTTTTTTCTGAAGCTCTGTTTCAGAGGCTTTCTGAAACAGAGTTTCAGAAGTTTCAGAGACAGAAAAAAAGCAAAAAAAAAAAAAAGGCAAGGCACAGAGCTCACAACCAAGGAACCTGTTGCTAAAATTCACCTCTGGGAACAGCTGATTGGGGGTATTCCGGGAGGCTGATCCCCCTGCCAATCAGCTTTTTAAAAATTTTCCTTCCCAAAAACTAAGGTGCTTATATTCCGGTGCATCTTATACTCTGAAAAATATGGTAACTCAAATAAGATGAGATGGTCAGGAATAAAACTGCTGCTGACTCAAAAAAGGAATCTCATTAAATTGTACAAGATGAAGCTCCAAACATCTCCGTGTCATTTGTGTCAAAAGTCAACATGAAGATGAACTGGCAAGTTCCTTTCATATTTCTGAAATGGATACTTGAGGCTTCAATATCATCATCATAAATTCTTAATCATCCTGAACAGCTGTGCTAGCTAGCTATTAAGACTCAATCTCAGAGCTATATTATGTTAGAAACTCTCTCATTCTTGCAGGGGGGGGTTTATGCTATGAGATCAAACTTCACCTAGTAATTGTGTGATCATGCTGGGGGAAAGGTAAATTGGTCACCACCTCAATACACTGTTCCTATGTGAATATTTGATGACAGCTTCTGTAAACCCAATACTGCATGGAGATACGACATTAGGCTTCTAAATGAAGCTAGCATCTTCAATGTAAATGATGACTTGTGTCCCATGACACAATAATTGCATTCTCCAACCATCTGAGTCTACAACTATCAGCATGGTCAGGGAAATTAACACAATATAGCCAATTAAGGTCTATTGAATTTAGTTGAACCCCCCCTCCGCTTATTTTTGATGTGGGCGTATATGCTTAATTATAGGAATGCGGTGGCTCAGTAGCTAAGACGCTGAGGTGGCTATTAAAATAGTGGATGATATCAAGGGGATAAAAATAATAAAGAAGAATATATTTTGAGGCAGGAAAATTTTAAGAAAATGTACTGTTTGATGTAATATGTTTTAATTTTAATTTGCAAACAAATGTTAAACTGATAAATAAGGATTGATTGAATAAAATACAAGATACACAGATGCTAGTGATTAGTCTTGAATTAAGGTACTACATGTTGGAAATGATGACTATTATGAAATATACTGAGATTTAAATTGAAAGAGTAGGATGGAAAAATGATATAAAACAGATAATTATATTACAGTTAAAATGTGTGGGATGGATACCAACTAGATAAGAGTTTGAGACTTGGTGGAAATACGTTGGAAATTAATTAGAAGTGCTGGAAATCAGTTAAACAAATAGGAGGAGTGCTGGAGGGAATTATGCTGGACACCAGCCAAACAATGGAGGGAGATTAGAGGAGATTATGCTGGAAATCAGCCAAACAATGGAGGGAGTTAAGGAGGAGATTATGCTGGAAATCAGCCCATAAAATGCTGGAAACAGCTAAACAAATAGGAGGAGAGTTGGAGACTATGCTGGAAATCAGCCCACAAAATGCTGGAAACAGCCAAACAAATAGGAAGAGAGTTGGAGGAGATTGAGGAACTATTCTGAAATTAACTAAATAGTTGGTGTTTTGGAGGGGATCAAGCTGAGAATTAATCAAATAGAATAAACTGGAAGGTAGTTAAATATTAGAGGGAGATATAGTGGAAAATATATTAGAAATTGGAGTAAATAAAATATGTCTGTGTGATAAATCTGTGTAATATGTAAACTGGGAGAAAAAAAACTAAGGTAAACTGATTTGAGGATAAGGGTCATAGGATTAAAATTAGACAAAATGTTGTTTTATAAAATATAATAAAAATGGAATGGTATTGAATTGAAATTAAGAATAAATGGTGATAAAATTGTAAGGTAAACACTTAACAAGAGGTTAGAATATTGTAAAAATTATTTTGATATGACTTGTATAAGATATAAGGTAAAGAAGAATAAAGATATGTTTAGAATTGTTATGCAGATGTAAAAATGAGTGAAAGTGAATTTGAAATTAATTTTGGATAGATATAATGGATTTATATAGATGAAAATGTTAAATTTGAGTTAAAATTGGTTTAAGTTTTGAATTTATTTTTTATCTTCTTTTCTTTTCTTTTTTGTTTACTTATAAAAGATGTAATGGAAATTGTGAATTGAGCTTGTGAAAGGAATGTAAGTGTGGTAACTATCTATGACCGGATCGAGATTTTTGCTCTTGAAAGTTATGTTTTATGTTTAAAGTTGGAAAAAATAAATAAAAAATATTTACAAAAAAAAAAAAAGAAAAGAAAGAAAGTGATTTGAGGCTGTCGACCAGGGCTGTGAGTGTGTTGAGTGAGTGACTACAAGCTGAAGCTGGGAGTTCATACAATGCCAACTAATGCAATCAGGTTCAAAGTTCACTTAAATCTTATTGCTGAAGTCTTGAAATTTTGGATAAATTTATAATGTATATATAAATACATTGGTAAAAATAATCCATCTGTTGATTTGCAAATGTATTTGTACTGCAGATTATAGCTCAAGCAGCTTTTCTTTCTTTGAATCTTCAATTTACTTAAGACAGGCGTGTCAAATCTTTGGCCCAGGGGCTGAACCCGGCCTGGAATAGGTTCAGAGCTGTCTTGTGATTCGGAGATG